CTGCCTTTCTCAACTGTATTCTCACTCCCCTGAACTCCTATCAATCCATTCATTCACTCATCCACCCACTCAGAAGAGCTGGACTGCATTTCTCCTATATGTAAGGCCACGTGACAAGTTCTGGCAGAAGGGAACTAGACCCCAGATGGAACTGGACTTTGTGAGAAGAGCGGGGGCTTAGGAGTCACACGTGTTGGGCTTAAGCCCTAGCCCCATCACTTACAAGCTGAGACCTTGAGCAAGTTACTTCTCCTCACTAAGCTGCGGTGTTCTAGCTGGGTTTGGTGATCCTAATATTTGCTTTACTTATAAGGCTTTTGCAGGAATTAAATGAGATCATCAACTAAAGTTCCTAGAACCACATGGGAACTCCTACCTTGTGCCCTGACTCCTGCTCCATGCCCATGTTTCGATGAAGCTACACTAATGTTGGAAGACTTCGATTTTAGAAAAAGATTTATTGTATTGTGAATGAGAATGTCAATTGGTATAACCTTTTGGGAAGCATTTAGGCAGTTATCTATCAAGATTATAAATGCAATACCTTTTGACCTAGTAAGGCTGCTTCTGGGAAGTTGTCCTACAGTTACTGTTGTACACATTCAGAATGATGTATATATAAAGGAATTCAATTGCAGCCTTGTTTGTAACAGGAAAAAACTGAAAACAAATCAAATGTCCTTCAATAAGGGACCGGTTAAATAAATCACACAATGTATTATTAAGTAAGTATAAAAAAGGAGAAAGAAGTTCTCCATGTATTAATAGAGAATGATCTCTATATTGATAGGTGAAAAAAAATCAAAGTGAAGAATAGTGGATATAATACACTACACTTTATGAATGAAGATGGGAGAGGGAAATATTTGCAATGTATAAAAAAAATTTGCAAGAATGTACAAAAAACTAATAAAAGCATTTACTCATGGGTGAGGTCAGAGCAAAGCATGTGGTGGGGGTGAGGTAGGAAGTGTGCTTTTCACTACATGCATTTTTCAAATGTTTTCAAATTTTTTGAGCCATTTATGCAGTTATTATATTCCATTTTACTTAGCTGTACATAATAACCAGGCCAAACACAAAGACTTACTAGGCATTCTCTCTGTGCCAGGCTCGAGAGGGGACACAAAAACATACAAGATTCAGTCCAGAGACTTCTAGCATTTAAAAGAAAGAAATCTCATTTACATAATATCTATATGCAAGAAAATCCCATTTACATAATATCTGTATGAAAGAAAAGCCTATAAAATTTCATTTTAATGTTATTGATGTTCGTTTTTCAATTATAAAAAAATTGACTACTTAGGACTGAAATGTAATTGTATGAAAATACTGTTGAAGGCTGAAGGTATCTCCATAGTACAAAGAACAATTCGCATAACTCTGAAATTCAAGCCTCGTCCTATTGCCTAGGCCGCAAGCACTCCAAGCAGCTACTGAGAGTTCAGGATAGAACAAACAAATGATTCCAGCTGTCAGTGGAAAGGTACACGTTAACCTCGTAATAATTACCATCTCTTTACTTGGTTCTCACTGGTACATAAGCTGTAAAATCTTGGGAAGAAACTTTTGGCATTTGTTTAGGAGAGAGTTTTCCATGTAAGCAGGAGCTGTCTCACCAGGAGGGTTCAAGTGCCAAAACTCTACCCAGAGACCTTTGGGTTCATTAAAGTCTGTGATTTCAACCAAATCTTTATGTTCAGATTCCATCAGCTCCTTAGGATAGAAACTAGAAATTGCCCTGATATTTAGAACTTGCTTCCACAAACAAGAAATTCCAAACTCAATCTAATTGTCCTTCTGGTGGGGAGGGGAAGCCTCTTGCCTTACACATTTCAGGGCTTCCGCTAAAAATCTATGTGTGACTACCAAGTACTAGGCACGGTTCTATATTTTGAGTAGCACTGGATAATTAATTGTTTACAATCAGAGGTCAGTCTCCACCTCCATCTCTAGTCAGTGGTCTTTGGAGGTGACAGAAAGAAGCTTGTGGGATTCAGTGTCTGACAGGTCAAATGTCTCCACGTGATCACTAGCACTTTCTTCTTCAACCTAACGGCTCTCAACCAGTAGCTGCTATCTGATTTAAGTTGGAGCCCAGACAATAAGTACCTTCATATTGCAGTGTCATAAAATTTAAGAACTGTAAGAGATCTTAGAGGTAATCTAGTTCAACCCATTATTTATGATTCTTTTGCTGGTAGGTTAATACTGCATCATGAACAAACAATTTTTAAGCTAGTTACAGAAAACTGTCAACACAAATCCAGTCTACAAAACTTAATGTATTTGAGCTTTAACTCATGGGGTTCTAAGGTTCATATCGTAAGTTTAAAAGAATCTCTTATGATGGGAAGATTATCTGTATCTCTGTTGGAGGGCACTGGAAGTTTCCCTTCATCTAGGTACTCTGTTTAAAATATCTCTAAGGTTAAATGTCCTCTAAATATTCCTAGTTTAAATTTGGAAGCAAATATAAACTTCATATTTTATTGATTCCTAGAGATAAATAAGTATATTGTTTATTTATATAATTTATTACATATATACATATTATACATATCATATTTGTATAATTATTATAATATCTTATTCAGGATTATAATAAATATATTTTATTGTATTTCTTTTGCTGTTTGCATAGTGGATGACCACACATCTAATGGGGATGCAGAGTGATTTGAGGAAAAAACAGGTTTAAATCGAGTTATCACAAGCTAGTTTAAGAAGGAAAAACTGAAGGTCTGAAATCAGACCTGAATTCAAAGCTCAGCTCTGACTCTTAAAGAGCCCTGTGACCTTGGACAAATTACTTGTTCTTATCTGTAAAACACGGAAATCATAATCCTTAGTCACAGCATTGTTATAAGGATTATGAAGTAATTCATTCAACAATTATGTACCAAGCATTGTTAGGTACTAGAGGGTACAGTGAGTAAATGAATGTATAGGACAGTTAATAAAATTGGACTGTTTTTATCTAAAAGCCCATACACACAGGCTTAGGATTGTATACAAAGAAGTTCTGAGTTACAGAAACAGGAATGAATTATTTATTGGGTCTCCAAGATCATAGAGTTGAAATGTTGATGAACACACAAAAGTATCCAATTACAAGAATGTTTTCTGATTGAGACTCAGAAGAAAAATATACCTGCTGATTGATTCAATATGTGTGTTGAGCAATTTATGCAGCATATTAATTAATTTCCTAGTCACTAAAATTGATTGTCAGGCATTTTAACATTTCTTTCCAAACAACATCCATGTAAACTTAGAACAGCAATGAAAGCATAAATAAAAAACATAAAGGGTGCAACTCATGTGGACGGTTATTAATATTGGTGATGCTTTTATCGTTCATGTATTCTTTTCTGAGAGGATTAAAAACTTCATTCCACCTCTGGGATATTTTTGCCCCTCTACAAGAGTAATGGTCTCTGTCATACATCTTTAAACATCTATAATGATGATTTAATGCCCTAGGATACCTAGAGCACAGCGGGGGATAGGAGAAGCCAAAATAATATGGTGTATCTTCCTGAAACATGAGTTACCTGTTTTTCATATTGAAATCAACAAGGATTTAACATGCAACAGAATGCAAAATCCAACTGATTCCACAGAATAAAACGAGCAACATCAAAGAAGCTGCTCCTTGCATTGGCATCTTGAAAGCGTCTTGGGGGTACAGAGGCTTTTGTCTCTTTAGGAGAAAGGTTAGCAAGTGCTCTCTGCATTAGGAAAGGATTTTTCCATCTTTTCACATTGTTGTCAATGACAAGAGGTTTGGAATCACTTTTATATAATGACGTTAGTTTTTTTCTCTCTCCTATTTCCAAATTTTGTATTGCTTTCTGTTATCTACTGAAGCTAGAAATAAATTATCAGAAACCACAAAAATGACTGCAATAAAACATACTTCTGACTAGGATTCGGTGTCTGAGTTCTGAAACAACATTCATGAAAACCCTGCAAGCTCTACTACAAATCAGAGAGGAAGACATTTCTGTGTTACTGGAATAATGCAAGGTGCTAAAAGAAAACCCGTGAAAAAGTAATAATCAGAGTATAAAATTCTCCCCAAAACATTCCTCTTGAAGACTGTAAATTAGCTTGAAGGAATTTGCCTAACCCTGGGAACTTCGTGCAAAATGTTAGCCATGCAAAATTTAAGAAGTGAATCAGCTGGAAAATTCATTCATTCTCTAGTTCATGAATCCGCGTTTATTCTTTTCACAGCATTTATCACTGTCAGAAACTATCTTAACCATTTGTTTAACTTGTTTATTGTCTGTCTTTTCCACCTCCAAACCCCAAAAGTAGGGTCACTTGTATATCCAGCATCTAGCCACACACCTGGCTATTATATAGCAGACGCTAAAAATATACTTGTTGAATTTCTTTATAAGATTAAGTGATGACCACTTTTTATCACGTACATATTGGTCGAGAACCACGTAAACCAAGGATGGGAGAAAGTGTGTCTGACTTCTCCAAAAGTGCAGTGATCTATCTGAAGGAATGACTACCCATCTACACTTTCTGCATCCTTTGCCATCTCGGACGCCAAAACGCTGAAAGGATGGCACGGCGGCGGTCTTGATAGAAAAACGGTTATACATCTTTCCTTAAGAGCAGAAACTAATGGTTCCCAGTGAATGTGCACCTTTATATAATCCGAAGTTTCTCGTACTTTTAGGAGATTAAATAGCACCTATTGTTAAAGACAGGAAAGTACTCATCTGTTTAAGAGAATGTAGCGGCTAACCGCGTGAGGGATTTAACGCCAATTCCCCGCGATCACATGGGTGGACAGGGTAACCCCAGCGCCCGGCCTAGGGCCTCGCGCGTCGGGGCGCACGCGGACCGCCGCACCCTGAGTCACCGTAGCGCTAGTCCAGATTTCCGAAGGGAGTCGCGCTGCGCTCAGGGTTTCACTTCCATCCTCAGGGAGGAGCCCGCCCCCTGCTGGGCGGGGTGGGTACGATTCGCACCTTTCGGCCCCCGGGAGAGCGAGCCGACCTGAATCCCGAGGCCCGGGAGGGGGTGGGGTTGGGTCCTCTGCTCACCGCTGCGGAGCCTGCCGCTGTCGCCGGCCTTGTTGAGGGCGCTGCTGGAGCAGCCCATCGCGGCGACGCTACCACGGGCAGCAGTGCAGCCGGCGGGCGAGTGCAGCCACCCGTCCCAGCCCCACGCGGAGTTGGCCCGGGAGCCTGGATCCCAGCGACGGCCCCGCAGCCTCAAAAGTTCCTCCGGATTCTGCGCGCCCTGCTCCCGCGGCTGCAGAGCGCAAGCGCACAGCGGGGCGCGGGGCGCGCGTGAGCCCCTGGGCAGGACAGGGAGCCGCGCACCTGGAGTGGAAACGCAGCCGCGCGGGGTGCCAGAAGCCAGAGAGCCGCGAAGCAGAAGAGGACAGGACCAAGAAGCCAGGAGGGGAGAAGGTGGGCGGCGTGGTAAAGGCAGAGAAGAAAAAGGCCTCTGAAGCAGAGATAGGGATGATGTCGGGGGAGAGGGTGAAGGGCTGGAGGGATCATCTGAATCATCACTAAATAGCTGGGGAGGGAGGAGGCGACTGTGGTCAGTGACTATTGATTGGTAGACTAACAGTGACAGCCTTAATCTTACGTAACTTCAGTGCAATTACCACAAGGAAGTTTAACGTAGATACCATTTAATCCATCCTCATATTCAACTTTGGTCAGTTGTCCAATCCAGGATCATATATTGCCTTTAGTTGTACCTCTCTTTCGTTTGTTTTAATCTGAAGTAGTTTCTCCCCATCTTCCTCTTTCATGACCTTGACATTTTTCATTTTGTAGAATATTTCTCAATTTGGGTTTATCTGATGTTTCCTCATGATTATTTTCAGGCGATGCAGTTTGGGCTGAAATACACAGATGTTATGTTATCTGTGTGTTCATATCAAGAGGCAGGTGATGTCAATTTGTCCTATTATTGACGATGTAGTTAAGGCAATGTCTGCCAGGCTTCTCCACTGAACAGTTACTATTTTACTCTAATTTATGGGGAGAGACTTTATCCTATTTCTCATCAAAGTTTAATCTGCCACTTTCAGCATATATTAATATTCATGCTTGGATCTATTTTTATGATGGTTACAAATGGTGATTTTTCTAATTGCATTATTCTTTCTACATGTATTAGTTAACACTTTCCCTTTTTTCCTCCATTATTCACTTATATCAGTAAAAACTCATAAATTTTACATTATACAGTGGGTTATGTTACATTATACAGTTACATTATACTGTAACATTATACGTTATACAGTTACATTATACTGTGTTAGTTTGCTAGGGCTGTCATAAAGTACCACAAAATTATTATATATTGGATGGCTTAAACAACAAAAATTTGTTTCCTCACACTTTTGAGGTTAGAAGTCCGAGATCGAGGTGTGGGCAGGGTTAGTTTCATTCTGAGGCCTCTCTCCTTGGCTGGTACATGGCAGTCTTCCCACATGTCTTCACATGGTCTGTCCACCAGGCATATTTGTGCCCTAATCTTATATGGACACTAGTCATACTGGATTGGAGCTTGCCCATATGACTTCATTTTACCTTAATTACCTTTTTAAAGGCCCTATCTTCAAATACATCTACACTATGAGGTACAGGAGGCTAGGACTTCAACATATGAATTTGGGAGACACAAAATTCAGTCCAAAATACCATCATTATTTTGATGCTCAAATTGTCTACCATTTGATCTATTTCCCTGTAAGGGTTGTGTGATACAAAGCTATGATCTTTACCACGTTTGGAGGTCTCTCTTCCTTTCTCCCTCCTTCCTTTCCTTCTTTCCCTTTCTCCCCGCCTCCTGATCTCCTCTCTCCTTTCTTTCTCCCTCTTCCTCTCCCTCTCTCCTGCACTGCAGGCCTGACAAAGCCTTCACCACCCGGAAATCAGTTCACAAATGCCTTCGAATGGAGACTGAAGACTTTGAGGAAGGGTCCTTCATAACATGACACATTATCAGTAATTTTTTAGGAGTTGCCTGGGGTATCTTACTTTTCCTTAGGTATAATTTGTCAGCCAAGCCACGGTCTCTTCTATTTTCTTCAGAGGAAGCATTTTATAATCAGGTAAACAATAATAATCAGGTGTTCTGTGGATATTAGGAAGTCTTTCTCACGAGCCACTCCAGTTTTTGCTCAATGGGCTCAGGAATAAAATGGCTACAGAGACAAGGATAGCAGTCAGGTATGGGCTCAACACCTTGTTCCTCCACTTACCATGCTTCACCTGGCTGAGGGTGTCCAGTTTGCCAGTAGCAGCAAAAGTGACCAACGTAAGCCTCTGAAATGGTATCCATTCTTTGAGGGGACCTATCAGCTACCTCGTAGAAGACTGATAAGACCTCCTTGGTGACAGTAGATAATCTTTACTGTAACAGACACTGGATTAGATTTTCTTTTCCTGTCCACTATGGTTTTACTTTTCCAGCATCATCCATTAGTGGATGGTATCATTAAGACATTACACATCTGTCAAGACATGACATTCAGCTTTGTATCTTTGTCTCTCACTTTACTGAGAGACAAGGGAATAGGTTCATTTCTATGGGATATAGGTGATTCTATATACCTACCTCATCATCCAGGTGAAGCTAACCCTATAGTGGGATGGAATGGCACATTAAACACTGTTATGGCACCAGCCAAGATTAAACATGACCAGTATATGCAGATCTGGGTCTTGCTCTCCAGGCTTCTTGTTCATTTGGTGAACTATAAAATAAATTCCATTTCTGCTTAACTGAACTAATTTGTTTCTACTGCTTACAAAAGTATCTAGACTAATATATATATGCTTACCCTGCCTCCCCTCTACCTCACCACTCTCCATCTTAGCAATTACCTGTCCTAGTCCTTTAGTCTTATCTTGATAATACCTGATCATAACTGATACTGTGATTTTTAAAGGCCGATAAATGTGAGGTGTTATATCTTGAAGGCAGTTCATAAATCTTTTCACCTCCAAGGATTCTTTTTATCATTTTTCTTAGACACACCATATTCCAATGTTGTCACAAATTTGCATTTATCATCTATTTCTCCACTAAGTAATCAGTGACATTTTCTGAACAGCATGATATGCATTGTTACAGTGATATGTTAGTTAAAAGCAAAGCACATTAATGTCTTAGCCTGTGCATTACGGCTTTATTAAAGGTAAAATTACATGGTAGGCTTTTCAAATCATTGAAAATAATATGTAAAATATCATATTTTTTTTTGTGGACACTTGAGAGGATCCCCACTTATACTAAAATTTCAAAAACTGACTTTAAGAAATATAAAATAACCAAAAGACCAAACTTTATAGACACTGTTCTACTTCCCAAAAGTGGTAAGTGGTAAGTACTCTTCCATAGTAAAATACTGAATAAAATACTGAGTTTTTTTTTTTGTAACCAAAAGTCTAAAAAACATGTTTCTTTGGATGGGAAAAAATGGTTTAAAAAATAGGAGAAAGCATTTATCTGGCCTATTTTTTAATCCAGTTCAGTCTGGAGCATTCCCAGTCTGAACAAAAAGGGTATAGGAGAAATATTTCAGATTCTTTATTATTGTGGAGGCAGAAAGGGTGGAGATAAATAAGTAGCATTCATTCCCTCTTGTCTGCTAAGGGCTGAGATTTCTTGTATAGGTGTATGTGTGTGTAGTTGAAAGGCCACTAACATTCACTGAGTTTACAGTGTCTTTTCACTGGGATTCACTGTCCTTCCCTCACCCCACTATATTTGTGAGCATGTTTAAGGTCCAGGGTAACTTAAGAATGTGAAGGCTAAGTTAGACAAATAGGGTTCCAAATTGCTAATGGGCCACTTTCTAATCTGGACACTGAATAAGTAATAGTTGATGATAATGAATGTGATAGTTTTAATTGCTTAACAGTAAGGGGATGGGTTAGTGTACTGAACCAATATTAGATGAACTTGTTAGTATTTGCCCTTACAGGAAATGCAGCCTGTCACTTTTAATGCTCATAGCAAGTGAAAACCAGAGCACAATAAATGCAGGCACCTGCAGAATTCTCAGAAACTTGGAGCATCGATTTTGGTGAAGGAAAACCAAAGGAGAACCTTATGTTAATTCTGTCCTATCACAATTACCTGTTTGTATTCTTTCAAGATCACTCTGAAATGCTACAAGAGTAGCATCCAGAAAAATAATATCTGAATGGCAAAGTCCTTTCTCAAACTTTTTCCCAACTTTTCAGTATTTAGGTTTTCAAACTTAAAAAAGCTGAATAGTAGAATGAACACCTGTATATCTTCCACTTAAAATTAACAGTTGTTAAGACTTTGCTACATTTGCTCTACCTACCTGTTTATAGATATTTATTTTAGCAATTTGAAATTAAGCTGCAGATATCCATACTTCATCTGTAAATACTTTAACATGTATCTCTTTTATACTAAGGACATTCTCTGTATGACTGAAAGTAGCTATTTTTAATAGTAATAGTAACCTTCTAACACAGGGTCAGCAAACTGTGGCCTGTAGACCAAATCCAGCCAGCTGCCTGATTTTGTAAATAAGGTTTTATAGAAACACAGTCATGCCCATTCATTTACATACTGTCTGTGGCTGCTTTTGTGCTACACCAGAGTTGAGTAAGTAGTTGGCACAGAGACCATACTACACGCAAGCAGTATAATAACCTAACTCTACTTGTTTGGTTAATTTCACAAGTTTGAATAAACTGTGAGATAACCTACAGTACAGACCTGGGTACAGGTACTTGCCCTAGCTCTGACAACACACTAGAGATGGAAACTTGAGAATAAAAATGTTACTTCTAAGACTTTTTGTGATTGTTAAATAAAATAATGCAGGTGAAAGGTTGTCATCCAAACCTGTAGAGAATTTTTGTAAGAATTTATCTGAGCCAAACTGACATGTGCCTGAGAGCAAGAGCTCAAATGTTCCTGAGAATAACAGTTTTGCACTTTCTTTTATGCATCTGAAATTAAGGAGATGTAAGGAAGAGTAGAGAATGCAAGGCAAGGATTGGATTGCAGGATAGTTAACACAATTATGTGCTCTCTGGAGGGTTACCACCCCCTTCCAGGGGTATTCTGGCATTTCGAAGGTGTGTTAACCTAGATGCACAAAAACAATGGCCAGAGCTGGCTTAAAACTTTTCACTTAAGAAGTTACAGGCCTGGAGCTGGTTAAAATGGCATAGCTGATAAGAGGCTTTGTTCACTCCTCTGTGACCAAATCAAAGTTGTGACAGAAACAAAGAGCAAGCAGCAAGGAAAGTCACCTGGGATCTAGACGAACAGCAGCACTACAAGTAGGAAAAGAAAGAATTAATCAGTCTGCAACTAGAAGGTAGGAGGGCGTGGCTGCCCGGTGTGCAGCAGCGGCAATTGGCAGTGCAGACGCCTCTTAAAGGGAGCATGTCCGCTAGCGGACTTTCAGTGACAGACCTGCTTGCTCTGAACAGGGCCGGATCAGTTGCTCAGGGGGCACCAGGGACTTACAGGGGAATAGTGAGTTGTCAGAGTGAGAGCCAAAGGTGAGGCTTTCTCCTGGACAGAAGTACTGGTGGTATCCATTGTTCGAGCCCTCCCCGCTCCTAGTGTGAGGACACAGTGCCACCATAGCTGAGACATCATCAAACTGGATAATAGAGGTTGCTCAGCCCAGAATATTCCCTGAAACTCTGCCTCCCCTAACTCGTGGCTCCACCTAAGCCACATCCAGGTGTGTCCTCGACGAGTCAGGTACTTCTTGCCGAGCAGTGCCAAGACTCAACTGGTGGCAGCTGGCCTCGTTTTCTGGCGTGGTTTCTTGAGGCAACTGTAAGCACAGCATCTGTGGATTGCTTGCTGAATCTTAACAGGTGGCTCCGAGGGGCACAGGCTGGGGCTAAACTTGGCCTGCAGCTGAACCCCTCTCAGGACTGTGCCACTGGACACCTACCACACAAAGCCACACTAGTAAGACTGGCAGACGTAGCTTTTCTTAGTACACAGAAACAGACAGAGAAAGGCAGCCAAAATGGGAAGACAAAGAAGCAGAAACCATATAAGAGAACAGAACAGAGATCCAGGAATAATGGAGTCAAGCAATCTAACAGATGCAGAGTTCAAAACACTGGTTATAAAGATGCTCAATGAACTTATGAGAAGGGTAGATGAACTCAGTGAGAACTTCAACAAAGAGATAAAAAACATAAAAATGGAAATGGAAATTGTAAAAGAGAACCAGTCAGAAATGAGATGAAGAGTATATTAGATGGAATAAACAGAGTGGATAAAGAAGAGGATCGAATCACCAATATAGAGGATGGAGAAGCCAAGGACACACAATAGGAATGGCAAGAAAAAAAAAAGCCAAGACTATAATAGTAATAATTTAAAGAGCCTATGGGACACTATTAATGTGCTGGCTGAAAAATTACTGCTTGGCTATCACCCGTGGGAACATAACGCTCTAACAATAAGCTTTCTGCTTCTGTACCCCTGCTTGCACAACTGACCTGTGGGGTGACAGCTGGTAAAAAGAAGAAAGATAGACTTGTGTGTTCAAACAGGATGGAGAATAAGGGTTTAGAGCTTAAAAACTCTGTACCTCTACATTTCAGGGCTGCTTAATTTGGGGTCTGCGTACCCCTGGCAGACCCAGCTGGCTGAATAAAGAGTGTGCTTCCTATAACTCACTGATTTCTGGTGGTCCGTGTGTCTATCGGGGGCTGGCGGCTACAACATTAAATGTAAAAATATCCGTGTCATAGGGGTACCTGAAGGAAAACAAGATGTTGAAGAGCTATTTGAAGAAATAATGAAGGAAAACTTCCCTCATCTGGTGAAGGAAATAGACATACAACTCCAAGAAGCACAGAAAGTCCCAAGAAAGAGGAACTCAAAGAGGCCCACAGCAAGACACAGCATAATTAAAATGCCAAAGGTTAAATACAAAGAAAGAATATTAAAAGCAGCAGGGGTAAAGCAGTTAGTTACCTACAAGGGCACACCCATAAGACTGGCAGCTGATTTCTCAAAAGAAACTATGCAGGACAGAAGGGCTTGGCACAAAATATTCGATGTGATGAAAACCCAAGATCTATAACAAAGAATACTTTATCCAGCAAAGCTATCAGTTAGAGTTGAAGGACAGATAAAGATCTTCCCAGACAAAAATAAGCTAAAAGAATTTATCAACACCAAGCCAGTATTACAGGAAATGTTGGAAGGACTTAAGAAAAAACATGTACCAAAAACAGGAATAAAGAATGGTAATAACTACATTCCTATCAATAAGTACCTCAAATGAAAAAGAATTAAGTGCTCCAACCAAAAGACAAAGTTGCTGAATGGATAAGAAAACAAGACCCTGACATATGCTGCCTACAAGAGACTCACTTCAGATGAAAAGACACACACAGACTAAAAGCAAGGGGATGGAAAAAGATATTGCCTTGATAGACCTAGAGGGTATGGCATTGAATCAAATGGGTCGGATAAAGACAAATATCACATGATCTCACGTACATGTGTAATCTAAAGAACAAAATAAACAAAAATGACAACAAAAGTGTAAACTCACATAGAGAATGAGGGATACTAGATGGGAGGGGGGTTGATGGGAAAAAAAGGCAAAGGGAGTAAGAGGTACTAATGGTTATTCGCACAATAAACATGGAAATATAGAGTGTAGAATGGGGAAGACGGTTAATAATGTAATAAATATATAAGGAGGAAGAAGGGTACTAAGAAAAAAGAGTTCATATCAGCATTGTTAGTAATTGAAAACAAACCAAATATCCATTGACAGGTGAATGTATATGTTATATTAACACAGTGGGACATTACATAGCAGTGAAAATGATGAACTACGGCTCCGCACAACAACATAGATGAATCTTAGAAACATAATATCGAGCTTCAGAAGCAACGTGCAGAAAATGTCATAAGATATATTAATTTCTGGAAGTTCTAAAAAGAAATAAATAATACATTGTTTAAGAAAATATATAGACCAAACAAAACTGTTAAAATAGATATGAAAACGGTAACATTCAGGTTAGCGTTTTCTTCCTCTGGAGAGGGAAATGAGAATAGGGTAGAAAAGGAGTGGCTCAGGTATGTGCAAAGGTATTAGTGACCAGGTAAACTTCTGAGTTTAAGGCTATCTGTTTTAACTGTTTCATTACACACAGACACTTTTTGAGCAAATATTATTTAAAAATTTAAAAAAGAAAAACTTTGATTTAGTAAACAAGACTACTATTAAAATGCCAATTTTAAGGAACAAAATATTCAGTGAAATTTTATTCAAATCTGCATCTCTCGTTATTTCCAAAGTGTTCTGATGCTTAGGATGAGAAAAGAATGTCTTAAAGTTTTTTGGGTAAGCCACTCTGCATCCCTCCAGCTATGCATCCTTTTTAAAAAAAATCTCATTACAGAAACATTACACATTAATTATATAAAATGTGATTACAGAAAAGAAGATATTAAAATCACTTGTAATCTCATCACCAAAAAAAAAAAAAAAAGTTACAGGCTTGGGGCGGGACCACCATGACCTGCCCAGTTAGAAATTTATGATCAGATCATCCCATGAGGTTACTTTCCATGGAACCCGCCCCCCCCATCCCCTTCTATTTTTATTTGCACTATGGAGCACAGCTCCTGGTACACTTCAGTTATCCACCTTTTTTTTCTTTTTTTTTTTGGCTCCTCTTCCTACTGACCTCCAGGGCACCATGACAGCAAAAATAGCTTATCTACTGGGCTAATTTTACTTTTTTTTATTTTTGGTGGTGGTGGTGGGCACTTTCTGTACCTAGTATTTTGAGTGACCTGTCGCAGGACTCTAATGTTCCCAACAAAAAGATTTTTAAAATTAAAACCGTTTATTGGTCTCTTTGCAAATTCGGCTTACAAGTCGACAGCAACAGGGCCATTAAAAGAGGTGAGTTGGACTAGCCGGCTTGGAGCGCCGCCGTTCTCTTGAAGGACCCTTAACTTGGGCGGGGACAGGGGAGTGCACGCAGCAGCTTGAGCCCCGGCGGAACTGACAGCGGAGAGTACAGCTGGAGGCTAAGGCACCGGGGTCCTCCCCTTTCCCCCAGAGCCCCACTTTCTGGTAGAGATGACAGCAGCACTAAGACCATGGTCTACCCGCCGCCGCCTCTTCTCGCCACTCCTCCCGCTTCACCCTGAGCTGGCTTCTCCAATTCCCGCTGAGAACAACAATCTTCAGTTTCTCAGTCTACAGCTGGGAGCGACAGAGTAACGTAGCGCGGAGAGGTTGAAGCCAGAACCACCGGCAAACCTTACTGCTCCACCGCTGGTCTAATTAGCGGTACCTATAGCAACCGGCGGCGGCCCTTCCCTTGTTGCCTCGCCTCTTCCGCTTGCAATTTGCTTCCGCTTCCGGTCCCGGAATCCCGGCTGGGCCTTGTAGAGCTTTGCATTGTGGGAACTCCTTCTTTTCTCCCTCCCGGCCATCTTGGCGGCTGCTGTTGGTGAGTGGGCTCCACCATCCCGAGCTTTAGGCAGCAGCTGGAGCCTCGCAGGTTGCCGTTTGGACCTCTGGGTTGTAAACTTCCTGTCCCTTCTTCTGTATGTTTTAGGTTGGGGGCCGTCCCGCATCTAAGGCAGGAAGATGGTGGCCGCAAAGAAGACGGTGAGTGAAGCGGGGCAGGGCAGGAAGCCGTTTCACGTGGAGAGATGAGTCTGGCCGGGGCGGGTAGATCTGAGCTCACTGGGGAATCAGCATGTCACTGGCATTTAGGGTGTCCTAAAAGGAGCCCGTGACGTCTTTTCAATGACTTGGGACGCTCGATTTCGAAGGTTTTATAAAAAGGGCCCGGCTTCCAGCTGGATCCAGTTTTGAAGTGGTCACATACAAGGCCTTCATGAAGGTCCATGTTAAATGTTTGCTTTGTAGAAAAAGTCCCTGGAGTCTATCAACTCTAGGCTCCAACTTGTTATGAAAAGTGGAAAGTACGTATTGGGGTACAAGCAGACTCTGAAAATGATCAGACAAGGCAAAGCGAAACTGGTCATCCTCGCCAACAACTGTCCAGCCTTGAGGTAGGTAATCGAAAGAACCTGAAGTGTGTGTCCTGCAAATTCATCGTAAACGAATATCCAGATTGTAAACTTGTAATATGGGTTGCATGAACTCGATTTTATGTAAATTCGTTTTAAAGCGAACACTTGCGGAATGATACACGATTGCTACTGTGGTGTTTGCATCTTGATCCCCCTTTCCCTCCCAGTCATGCTTTCTCCTTGTGTAAGCTAATCTTAGGGGAGAAATTTGGCAAAAGGGGTAAAAAGCAAGGTGGAGGGAAGCACAGAAATGTAATTTGTTTTTCCATGTGTTTTATTTCCTGCCTTTGGTCATTCTTTCAGCTTTGAGATGCTTTAAAAGTTCTACATTGTATGAATTTGTTTTAGTGTGGAAAGGCTAGATAAAGTTCAGGCTGACCAATGGAGTTGCAGGCCATCATAGAATCACCTAGTTCATCCTGTGTCAATTCTCTGAGCCAATTTTTGCTTGATTTATTTTTTATTATTATTATTTTTTTAGGCGAAGCAACCCTTGGTAGATCTCACAGATTGCAAGGACTTTGTCAGTTTACAATCCCTTATTTTTTATTTTTTACGCCTATAGCACCTGGTCTTCCTAGCTGGTCTCCCATCCAAGTACTAACCAGGCCCGACCCTGCCTAGCTGCTGAGATCAGACGGGATTAGGCTTGTTCAGGGTGGCATGACCGTAGATTTGATTGTTTTAAAATTGAACTTAGTGGGAATTGTAAACAAGTTAAACTTATGTATTGCAGAATATAAGCCATAGTATCAGCCCCAGCCCACACTGATTTTCTATGATATGCATAATCTCAGCATTTTATAGCATGTCGGTACTTACAGAGTGCTGTCTCTATCCCATCCCATAATTAGGTCTTATTTCAACCTGTCTTTCAAGCCTACATTCTATAGCAGTGCTTCTCAAACAAGAATGTCCACACAGTAACATGAGTGAGCTTGTTAAAAAGGTTCTGATTTTGAGTCTCAGTTGGGGCCTGAGATACTGCATTTCTAACAAGCACCTTGTAACACTACTGTTGGTCTATGGATCTGCACTTTGAGTAGTGGGAAATTTCTGTTAGAACTCCGTTCAAGTTTTTAAAACCATTAATAGCTATCTACTCAATTGACAAGAATGTTAACTCAGTGTAAGAAATATCACCCCCCGCTCTGTCCCCGCCCCGTCTAGGATTCAGAGCATCAGAGGGTGAGAAATGGACTATCTTTTAAAGATAACGTGGTTTCGAATTCTGGATTCTGCACTTATTCTGCACCTCAGTTTCTTCATTAGTTAAAAAAAAAAAGGAGTACTTAATACATTATGGGAATTATGTGAAGTGTCTGGCATGTAGTAAATGCTAAGTAAATAATGGTTTTATTTTGCATCCTACCCTCTTCTCCACGAGCATAGATACTGTGTTAAACATAGGTGTTAAGTAGATACTTGCTGATTATCTCATCTCTTGTAAGGGATCCAAGGAAAGAATGGTTTCTACTAATGTAATTTTTAAGAGTAATAACTGGCTTAGTTACTTTGGAAGGCCTCACCAACATTAAAACTAATGAGAGAATAGTAACATTTAGTTTGTCACTGGTATTGCATTCATTTATTTGCCTTTTTTTTGGGTTCCCAAAGGAAATCTGAAATAGAGTACTACGCCATGTTGGCTAAGACTGGTGTTCATCACTACAGTGGCAATAATATTGAATTGGGCACAGCGTGTGGAAAATATTACAGAGTATGCACACTGGCTATCATTGATCCAGGTATGCTTTTTAAATCATATTTTCCCCCTTTACAATGTAATGTATGTAGCTGGTATATAGATGTCTTTGGTTCTTGAGTTCAGATGGTGAGAATTTGTATATATCAAGGGATATCCTGTAGTTCTGTTTCATAGAGAATTGATAATGAATGTCAGTCCATTGGCTTTGTTATAAGTGAATTTTTTAAAAATTTGAGATCATGGATTTCGTTTGATGAAACACCTAAGAAATAATGACTTAGGACCTTGGTAAAAGGTGAAATTATAAAAGAATAATCAGGTGAAATGGAGGAAAGTAATCTTTACTGGCTGCTTGAGAAACAGAAGAGTTAAATTGGTTGAAAAAGAAATGCCTACAAATACAGTTGCCTCTTGAACAACACAGGTTTGATCTGCACAGGTCCACTCATACATGTAGTTTTTTCCCTGGGTTTCACATCCATGGATTTACCAACGATGGACCAAAGACAGTATTTTTGATTTGTGATTGGGAATCCATGTATGCAGGAGGCCGACTTAAGTTACCCGGGTCAGTGCTCCTGATTCCTTAGTTGTCCAATGAATCACACATCTCATTTTGAACTTAGGAATTTTGAATTAATTCATAAAAGATTGCGAATATTCTCGCTGTTCTGATTTCATAATAATCAGGGCAGGCTAAACATTCGCTATATTAAGAACCATGCATGTGTCCCCAGACCTAGTTCTTTTCCTAGGTCTGGTTTTATAAATGCTGGTGATAGACCAAGTGTAATTTATATGATACATCTTAAGTGGGAAATGGTCTGACTCTAGGTGACTTCGATCAGCCTCAAGAAATGACAGTACAGCCAGTGAAATAACTTGAAGATAACCACTGCTAATTGCCATTAAATGAATTGTAAAAATATTATTGTTTTATTTTCTAGGTGATTCTGATATCATTAGAAGCATGCCAGAACAGACTGGTGAAAAGTAAATCATGCAATTTTTCTTTAATAAAATGGGGCAGAGCTTGTTTTAAAAACTGCGTTTGTTTCGGTTATTTTTATATATTTTTGTTTCAATACACTTTGATTATACAGGTGGTGGCAAGACTTTTGGATTAAGAGCTGTACATCCCAATTTCCATTTTCCCATTTTTGTAAAGGGTGTGCACTGAGTTCCTTTCTTGTACTGGAAATTTTCATAATTCCAATCTCAGAACATAGTTGGCATTTTATAGTTGAATGTGTTTGAGGGGCAGGCAACAAGGTTCAAAACCCCGAATTTAACCAGAGTTGCAGTTTATAGTCCAGTTTAAATCTCATAAATCTGAGTAGCAGAGAGGAATAAATGAAATATATTCCCTCCTACCCTGAATTTTGTCACTGAATATTGCATCTCCCAAATATGTCCTACGGAGTCCTTTTCCTACATCTGTTAATATTCAGAGGAATTAATTTAAGGGAAATTATTGATTTACATATATTGTGGTTTACAGATTTGAATGGTGCTGGTAGGCTATACCCTACACAGTCTGTGCTCAAGCTCTAAGGGAAGTTGCAGAAGTATCAGAAATGACAGTGTCTTTTGGACTTAAGAATCAGCTTGGTCAAGAGGTTTTTGGTGGTAGATGAGAGGAGATGAGGATGTTTTCAATATATCAGGAAAGTCAAATGTTGCTGAACTTGGAGTCAGAAGACTCCCTCTTATAGCTAATTAACAAGGGTGAGTGAGATTCCCAGTTTCACAAGTGAGGGAATTGGTCTCTTTCAGGTTAACATTTCATGATTTTAGTTTGTGTCTGAAGTTAGTCTGAGCTTATGGATGTAATTCGGAGAGTGTAGCTGTTAACAGGAGTAGAGCTTTACTGGTGGTTCAGTTACTCAATATTTCTCAGTTTGAGAGCACTAACATTATTCAGTGGGACAGTTCTTTGTTGTGGAGGGATGTGGATATTACAGGATATTTTTCATTTCTGGTTTTCCTTCCATGTCATTCTATGAGAACACCTCTAAATGTCACCCCACGTTTTCAAATTAACATCTGGTTAAGAGCTAGAGTTACAAGAAATTTATAAATGTTCTAAGGTGCTCATATTTACATATCCAGACACTGGTGTGCCCAACGGAGTTTAAAATGGTGGAAGTCATTTTCCTTGATAAGAATTGCTTGGTCAGACTACTGCTGGTCTCAATGCTATTAGTCTTTTTCTATGGTTCAAAATGTTTCAGTCTTGTTTAAGGAAATTCATATATTTTATAATTTTCCTCCTACTTGGTCAGTTTCTCCTTTCACATCGACCTAGCCCTGCTCTTTGGGTTCTTTGTCCTCCAGGTTGACTAGTTTCAATTTAATTTTTTGAGGGGCATTGACCCGAAGAATACAATATCGTAGGTGCTGGCATACCAGTTCTTTGCAATGCTTCTGTCGCATGACTTTGTGGCTCCAGGTATTTTGGAATGATGGATTTTAGAAAATAATTGCTTTCTAGGGCCTTCTTCTAGGTAGTGAGAATATGCAATAAGATCATTTGGCTTTTACCTTTTTATATGTGCTTTTTTGTGCACTCACCGTTGTTTCAGCGAGAAAGGACCTTAAAGTTCAGAGAAAGGAGTTTAAAACTAGTAGATAGGAAACACCTCACTCATTCTGGTCGGAGGCAGCTGTGGTGACGTGCCATTAAAGTGCTGCCAGAATTAGAAAATGCCACTAGTCAAGAAGATCTAGGAAGGTCTCAGATATTTTAAAATATTCCCTACTTTCATTTAATTACAATGAAAGTAATGTGTTTGGGTAGAAAGCTGTATGTAGGGGACTGCAGGAAGTCCCAGCCAATTGGGTTTAATCCATACCTGTACTGAGAGGAAAGCTCCAAAGAAGAGGTTGTATGTTGTGGAGTATGTTCATTGCAATCTAAATGGTGTGGCAGGAACAAAAGGTCTAAAGAGGAGAAACTTCAGGCTGGTCATGAATGCAGTTAGTTGGAGCTTCTGGAACATGGTCATCTGGTTCTGGTTCGTGGAAAATGGTTCTCTTTGATCTTCTGTCTTGCAATTCATTCCCAGTTATACCTTAGACTTGCCGCTCCTGCTTGCAGGGGCATCTGGTTTCCCTCCTCCCCCTGCTTTTCAGGTCACCCCAACATCCACTTCCAGTCTAGATCAGGTGTCTCTGAGTTACCAGAGAACCTTTTTTATGGCATTAATCATATCTGTCTCATTAAACTAAGGTCCCAGAGGATAGAGACTCAACATTTTCAACTTTATATCATTTATTATGTGACTAACATATGATAAACTAAAAAATACCAGAATAAATAATGACTTTTAGGGCTTAAACATTTATTTTTCATTGATAGACTTGTGACTTTCTAGTCCAGAATTTTTTCATTTTGATAGGTTTTGAACATCTTGTACATTTCCTATTATTTAATGTATTACCTCCTACTTGGTTTGCTTCAGAAGATAATTTAGGAGTGGAAATCTGCCCAAGTACTTTCTTCACGTGAGCAAAGAATTCACTCAACATATCCTTATGTGTTACCATATTAGTGTCAGGTGCTGCTGAAGAATAAAAACTAGCTAGTATTGAGCATTTCAAATGTTAGATTTAAAGTAGTTAAAGTAGTATGCATGTTAACCCATTTAATCCTCCTGACAATCCGTTGAGGTAGTACTATTAGTCCCATTTGTCAGGATCAGGGCTTGGAAAGCTCACACAATCAGCTGGAATACAGAAACCTTAATACCTGAGACGTACAGATAGCAAAATAAGGAAAATGGAGAAATATTTCAAATGTTAGACAATCTTTAAAGATCTTGGATTATTCTGTAAATTAGATGAATTGGTTGGAGGCCTTTGTTTCCCTTGAACATATTTTTCTTACCAAGTGTTTAAAAGCTTAAAAAAAACAAAAAACAAAATGGGAGCAGGGGCAGTCTACAGCCACTAGAGGGAGCCAGAACTCAACAAAGTGAAGCTAATTGAGCTAATCGGAAGCAATGCCTGAAGGATGATTACATCTCCAAAGGTAATGCCACCCCAAATCAATAATTTACTTCCTAATGAAAATATGCTTTGGAGATCAAGTGGATGACTCATAAAAATGAAGGTTTAGTACTTTTTGAATCACAACTAAAAGTTGTGATACTTGGAAAGAATCAGACACAAGGCTTAGATGTTCTCCCCACGTACCACACTGCCCTTTGAGAGGACATTCTGATGAAAACACTTGTCTTGAAATATTTAAACATAAGCTTATTCAAGGTATTTTGTAAGGCATTTGGCCCCAAAAATCCATGGGAAGGATGTCATTTTGGGTGTCCATTTTATAACGAAGCTGCCACCGGTAGTGTTTTCTTGCTGCTCTAGGTGCCATGAACTGATACCTTGACTCTTGATCTTGTCTCTATTCCCACTTTATTTTCCCAGGGACAACCACTATTGTGTGTATCCTTCCAGAACATTTCTTAAATGTACATATTTGTGTGTCTAAACAACTAGTAATGTTTGTGGGTTTTTTTAATGTACAGGAATGGTATACTAAATATACCCTGCCATTGGCTTCTTAAACATTTTTCAGTTTAACCACACATACATGCAGCTTTAGTGTATTGCTTTAAAAAATGTCTAGTATTTCTGAGATATATGCCACAATTCATTAGTTATCCTTATGATTAGGTTATTTCTAACTTGTTACTTTTATACACTCTAGTAACATTCTTGTATAGGTCATATACATGCTAAAATGCAATGGCTACAGCATAGGGTTGTGTACATTTTCAGTTTTACTATGCACTGATTACTCTCCAAAGAGACTATCCATTTGCTTTCTCACTCGCAGTGTACAAAAGCCCCAGATTTCCACCTCCTCACCAACACATGTTATAGTCAGACATACTAATTTTTGCCAAACTATTGTTTTAACCTGCATTTTCCTGATTACCAGTGAAATTCAACATTTTTTCATATGTATATTGGCTTTATCTCATGTATCTTTAAGTCAAACAATTATACACAGGCTACCATTCTCTGAAGTAGTGAATTTTAATATTGTATAAAAAAAAATCCAACTTGTTATACAAGTCCATGTCCTATGATTTTATGCATACGTCCATATACATATATCAAGGTAAAGTCCAATACAAAAAAATAGCTTTTCCTATGGCCAGTGTTCTACAGAAGTAAGACCTTGCAAACTATTTCGTAGTCAGATGAGATTGCAACACTAAGGAGAGGCAGAAGCAAATCTTGGCCATTATGTTACAGAGTATCTTTGCCTAGCTTATTCTCACTTGGTAAACTTTAGGATTCTGAAAGATTCTTTTTCTCATTAAATTTATACAAGTTAGTGTCTACTTTTTGCCCTTGTTCTATAGCAAACCAGCTTTCTCAGTACTAATTATATTTTACTTTACAACCTTACAGAATTAATGATAGGCTGAGCTTTAGGGCTCTGAACTGCTTTCATTTTAATTGATGATACAATGACGTACAAATACAGAGTATTTTGAATCTTCATCTGTATCTCAGGCGATTTTCCAGGGCTTCCATTCTCTGTGTCATTTCTTCTAGTAAATCTCATATTAAGGAAGATGAACCTGAACTGTATTATTTTTATTTACATTCAAATATAACTTGATTTATCTACATAAAAATTTGTTCTAAAAAAATAAGGCTTTGTTTTTTTCCCTTTCTGTTAAGTATTTTAAAACCCTGACTTGTAAATTTACAGTAACTAATTTAGCACGTGCTACCAAGATAATCATTTTTCAGGTTAAATACTTTTTAAATATCGATGTGCAGATGGTTCAGTTCAAATTCTTTTTAATTTTTAATTCTAGTCACACCTCTGTTGCTTATAAATTAGTTTGCCAAAGCACACCTCTATGAGCCAGAATTGATAGGTGGGAATGTGGTAAAGAGAAGAAAACAGGGCTTTGGAAACTAAGACATCAGTTTTCACCCATGCCAGATATGGCCAAAGGGTAGCAACCTGGAAGACTTCCAACCTATGCTTTTATATATTAAAACTTTCTTAGTCTCCTATGAAGTAGACCCTCAGAACTGAGGTGGGAAAATGAAGAGGAAGGAGCATTAGAAGCAGCACTTGTCTTCCACGCTTGCAGGCTCCTTAATACCCTCCACCTGCCCCCCTGGTGGCAGAATGAGAGCCCAGATTCATTATTTATATTAACCACTGTCAGATTATTTTTCTTAGGGGAACACATTTTCAGTTTTCAGAAGGGAATTGGTATATGCTGTTCCTTAGTATATAAACCCACTGGCACAGAGATGGCTGAGAATTAAACCATTTATTTGCCTATCGACTAGTTGATGCATGTTGTGTTAGATATCTGCCAACTTTAGTAAGCTGACTATAATCTTAAATTCAGAGCAGTTGGCAGGCTGTTCAGTGTGTAAAAGCACTAAATTCTTATTTCTCCATTATCCCAAAGCATTCCTTTTATTTGTAATATTGTTTTAATGAATCATTGGAGCCTGCTGTTCCCTCAGTGAAATGTTTCATCTTAAGAGTGCTGATATGAAAGATCTTTGCTGCCAAACCAAAAAGAAAAAGAAAAACTGTATCCCATTCCTCTAGAAACTAAACACTGACCAAATGAGGCTACAGTATGTCTTGGGGCCAAAGAAAAGGTTTGGAGTTTAGATGGAGTTTGAAACCTCTTCATTCTAAAACATTCTTTGCCCATACATACTATACCTTTGGTATACTTAAGACCCGTATATGTCCTCCATTTTCTGCCAGCAGAGAGAGAGTTAATTAAATATGTTTTTCTTCTTTACTTTGCATACTGACTGGCTGACTGGCCTTATTGCTAAATCCTCTAGAAGAGCAGACGGCAACTAAGTGTTTGCCCCTGGCCACTAAGCTTGGCTTGCCCTTGGCTCTCAAACAGCTATCAGGCTGTTTAAGAAAAACCACCTCTCCTGGAGTTCACTATTCTTGACTTTATGGAAGCGATTTCATTTGATATACCCCTACATACAGTATTTGTGACATTTTATAATATTCTTTCCATTCCATTCCATACAGAAGCATAATACTAGAAAAGGATATAGCGTTGTGTTAATTTTCTTACTTCTTCATTTGCAAGGTTCTGGAACATTATAAGGTTTTCACATTTGCATTGATCAGGTTTTTCTTCCAAAGGACTTCCTGAGAAAGCAGGTGGAAAGTGTTTATCTCTATGATCCACTAGACTTCCCAGATGCATAATAATAGGACTGAATCAGCATATGGAGGAAACCATAATGAAAGAAATGGTCAACTTTCTGTGCAGCCAGATCCAGCAAATCCCAGGAAAGGGCTTCCAGCACTGGAAGTGGCCTTGATCGTGGTGGGTTGGGGGAAGACTGCTCCAGTGTCTTTTAGTTTTTCAGTTCTCATTTTACTTAAGTTCTTCTCTTTTCCCCATCCTATTTCCTACTTCCTCCTTTCCTTTCCCCCTTTATACTGAGTTTGTTGGCTAGCTGAGAGGCTGGTATTTAGTCAACTTTCAGAAAATTTTACTGATAATTACCTGAAGGTTTTGCCGTATGGAAAAGTTTTTGTGTAGACCGTGAAAGACTGTCTTCTTCAAACAGATATCTGTGTTGCACTGCAAAATTAGAACAGGAAAGTAGGTCTCGGATATTTATGGTAACTGGCTCAGATTCTGTAAAGAGAAAGAAAACTGAAGTCAAAGCTGCTTAACACGTTGTGGTATAAAACAGCCATCAGCTGTCAAAGTAAGGTGCTTGGTATTCCTAGCAAGTGGTACACTACCTGGGTACATACATACTGTGGCAATAAGACTCAGCGGAAAGGCTATTACCACATACGGCGTAAGATGTGGAGTATATGTTTCCTATCCAATAGAGAGGCAGAAGCCATAGCATAATTCAAATCTGACTTTGACTTCTTTACAACTTTTGTCTGGAGGGAAACCATGGTGGAAGCATCCTCCGAAGGATCTAAAAACACTGCTTTTTAAAATTTACCTGTTGGCTGGTGGACCCTCTTGGGCAATTCCCCTGCTGGGGAGTCCTGACTTCCACTGGAGTCTTCCAGCGCTGAGAGGAAAAAAATGAGCAAAAGGAGTGAGAGTTGTCTGCATGCACACGTGTTCTTTAGGAAACTAGTCCCAGACCAACTCCTTACCTGCCATAACCCAGGGCATTTCGGTTTTACTTGTCAACACCACAGATTCAAAAAGCAATTGGTTACCAGATAATCCAAGAGCACTCTAGGGCAGTTCCCTCTAATAAGGAAACCCTGGGCCCCTGAGGTGTATCTTAAGAATGCTCCCAAAATACCATGTCTAGAAGGTAGAGTGAAGAAAAAAGTTTAAGTTGCCTAAAAATTAAGCTGCAGTGGCAGCGGCTCCACTTGAGGCATTTTAACTTGAACGCAACAGCCTGGAGGCAAAAACGTTATCTACTTTGATTAGAAATCTGAAAGGCTTCCTCCCAGGTCTCCCTTCCTCGCATTGTTTTTTTCCCTTAGAAGAGTAAGACACATCACTTAGACTGGGATTTTATTGGTGACTGAATCTGGGACATGAGTAAAAGGAAAAATGGACAGAACTGCTATATGTCAGCATGCCTTACGTATGAAGCAATTAGTGAACTGGAGAAAAGCATAGAGACCTTTTGTCATAACAAAATCTAAATTCAGAAGGGCAGTTTAATATTCTGTAAGCAGATGTCGTCCATGCGGGGAGGCATTCTTTAAGTTTTAAGCAGTGGGCTTGAAAGGATTACCATCCCTTTCTACTCCAATTACAGGCCTATCGTGAAATTACATGTCAGCTCTCTTCATTTATATAATGGTTGTTTCTTAGTTAAATGATCATTTCCATAGGGCTTTTTGGAGGATTAAGTGTGCTGGTGTTGTCACAACACTTATCACGCTGCTCAGCACAGAGCAAGCGCTCAAGCAGTGTTGGCCGTTCACATTTGTCTTCGCTCTCCCCTCTTCTACTTTCTGCGCTTAGTGTTTCCAGGTGTCACTGGTTCTGCACACAGGCACTTCTTGGAGCATTTTGAAGGAATAGGTTGAGAATTTCTCATTCAAGGGTTTGTGCTGCCCTGTTTGCTAGGATCTCTCCTCGACACAGCTATAGTACCTTCACATATGCCTTTCTTTAGTTTTTCACTTATCTCGCCCATTGTGCTGAAGTCTTCCGCATAGAAGAGATGCTTCTTTGTGGGCTCAGAGGCAATCTCCTGCAGTTCTTCCTCAATGGCTTTTCCTACGCCGACCGCATACATGGTTATACCTACGGTGCAGAGCAAATTAACAAGTAGTTAGAGTTGTGTTCTCACAGTCTGGAAGTATGTACGGTGCCCAAAGCCAGCTAGATGTTAAGTGGTGTGATTTGAGGGGTCCAGATCAGCCTCCCTTTATTTTTTCTCCATTTTTTATTTGGTCCTATGAGCAAAAGGGAGCGATTCAAGAGAGAGGAAGGTGAGATGTCTGGAGAGTTATGGAGCCAGACCACCAGCCTCCTGCTCAGCTCTGGGCTCGGTCTTAACAAATCTTAACTTTTTCCTGAATTAGCCTTGTGGATAAAGTCAGGACGGGCACTATCTTAAGGCTTACGAAATGGGAATCTCTTCTGAGAGAAGTCTAAGAAGCAGGTAAGGTTATGACCTTATAAACTAATTTCTACTTCTCAAAGGTACAGGATGAGAACCTTAAGTGACCTGGGCGAGGTGAAACTGCATTCTGCCCACCCCTCTTGGGAGGACAAAGCCTTGTGAGAAGTGCTAAGCTGAAGAGGGGAACCTACAGACCACTGGAAACCCCAAAGTCAGAAAAAAGAACCAACCCAAGTATCAACCTTAGAAAGCAAAAGGGATGTGAGATTGCTCCAAAAGCTTTTCTAAACAGAATTAGTCTTAGACTCCCTTCCCCAGATACTTTTCTTTAACAGTAAAACAGTAAGAACTTCAGTTTTTGATTTTCAGTATTTTTCAGCACTGATATTCTGGCTAATTCTTTGACCAGATTTTTTAAAAATACACATAAAAATGGCTCTCTAAGCCAAGGGCAAGAGTTAGGCCTCATTCTAAGTCTGTGTAACGTCAGTAGCCAAGTTCAGCATATTTGTCTGGGAGCCCAGTGGCTTTATGCGCAACTTCCTAAAAAGGAGAACTATTTTAAGATTGTGTTTGCTATGCATAGGAGTAATTAAATTCATTAGAGGATGTCACTTGAGATAAATTTGTTGATTCAATAACCAAATAAACATCTGTTTCTCCTGCCTTTAGGTGATTCACGTAAATGTGAGTTGGGGAAA